CACACACACACACACACACACACACACACACACACACACACACACACACACACACACACACACACACACACACACACACACACACACACATTTGCGCTTCTCATAACACACCCCTCATGTATGCCCCCTTCGACACACCACTTGTTGTCAGGTCCTCGCTTGATGCGGCGAATGCAGATGAGAGCACGCGGGAACACGACACGCGCACGCAACTCACGTTGCTGCAGGCGAAGCAGCGCATTGAAGACGCAGATAAGGTGTCATTACATACGCTCCTATTTGTGTGTGCGTGCGTGAGTGTGTGTGTGTGTGTTGTGCATTTGTGACCCTTATCGATGTTTGACCTGTACGACCATGCCTGTAGATTGAACTCTCCGTTTTACACAAACCGTTCATCATCACTCCTGCAGCCACCGCGGATTCTGTTTGCTGAGCATGTGTGTGCGGTTGCGATGGAGTTTTGCCCAATGCTGTGGCGCCTCGCAAACTCAAGCTACCCGCCTCTCGGTACGTCTGTAGTGTTGCATGTGTGTGTGTGTGTGTGTTTGTTTACGTGTGTGTGTGTGTTTGTGCGTTTGTTTACGTGTGTGTGTTTGTGTGTTTGTTTACGTGTGTGTATGCGTGCGTGTGTGCGTGTGCGTGTGTGTGTGTTTGTTTACGCGTGTGTGCGTGTGCGCGTGCGTGCGTGCGTGTGTGTTTGCATGTGTGTGTGATCTTCCCTCATTGTCCTCTCGTCCTCGTGTCGTGGTTCGATCAGACGAGGACGAGGCCAGCGGTAGCCAGCCAACAACACCGAGCCGAAAGCGGTGCGTGAATGTGCATGTGTGTATGTGTATGCGTTTGTATATATGTGTGTGTGTGTGCGTCGATGCGTGCATGAACAAGCTGTGCGATAGGCGACGCTTCTTGCATCCCTCATCTTTCATGCACCACCACACCCACGACCGCCGCCACACCCACGACCGCCGCCACCACGATCATCAGTCGGCACTCGACGATGTACCAGTCGATGTTTGATGCGTCCGATCATTTACAGATGGATATGCAACGCCTTCTCGTCCGCCGCAAGCAGATTAAGGTCTCATTCCCGCACAAGCGCACGCGAGCTGCAAGATGGAGGGGGGGGGGGCTGCTTCAGTTTTTGGTATTTGCTCATGTTTGTCGCATCAATCTCCGCGTCACGCATGCGTGAACTTCACACACACACACACCCACCCACACACACACCCACCCACACCCACCCACACACACACACACACACACACACACACACACACACACACACACAC